GTTTATTAGCCTGGGTATACATTTTTTAAAAAAATCTTTTTATTCTTCATTTATTATATTTTCAGTGCACATCATCTTTATTTTTTATCTTTATCCAGTGACAACTCTAACCAGAAATCTGAAAAGTACCTGCTAAAAGAGATTCAGATGTGCTGCACATATTTTTCTCTCTGAATAAGATTAAAGATAGAAAAAATGGGAAGTAAAAAATCTCTGGAGATCACTTATATACCATTCATCCTGAGGCTTTCTAAATGTTTTAAGCTATTATTCAAAGTATATGTATTAATCTAAACAGAAATATGGATGATACATGTGTGAGGTAAGATAAAGTATAGAAACTATTGCTGTGTGGTGTGTAAGGCAGTGTGGTCAGTGGTGCATAGCTGGGCCACATAAAGCATTTAAAGTCTGTGTATTTATTGATTCCATGTGGCTATGGTGTCCATCCTCAGGAAAAGTGAGGGATTTACTGTGGCCTGTTGGTCCCAGAAGTTCATTAAAGATGGATAACATGATGGTTTTAGCATTGAAGAATTATCTGGGACTGGGAAATACATGCTGGTTGTCTTTTGGAGCAATGACTGTATCTTGCCAGTAGTGATATCCTAGATATGATGGTATTTGACTCTACATCAGTGTCTTTGGGGCTATAAATGACTGCAGTCGTGTTATCTCTTCAGGAGTTGCCACTGTTCAGTATCTGTCATATTGGAGCTTAAGATAGTGAGATCATTTGAACAGGGTGAAGTACCTCATTCTTTAAACGTGTTCTGCAAACACGTGTAATTGGTCTTGCAAAAATGTGTTCCTGAAGAGGTCTTGAAAAGTCAAGCCTTCCCATGCTGCATTTGAGTATATTTCTTACAGGCTCTGCTATGATGTTTGCCCTAGAATACATACTGTGCTGCATTGATACAGATGAAACGCAGCAGTTCTCATTTTCAGGTGGCCCTCATTGCTTTTCATTAGGAAAAAAAAAGGCTTTTCAGCAGTACTGACAAAATTGGATTTTCCTGCTCCAGGAACAAGGAGCAGAACTGTGCCACTTCTCCAGCGCTAAGGGAACAGGCAGGGGGAGATGGGCTGCACTGAAAGGCAGGACCTCTGCCCAGCTCCCATAGTGGGCTGAGCTGCCCTCTCAGACATCCTGCGATGGCAGCAGCAGTCTTACTTTTCAGGACTCTAGTAGAGGTGGTGGGGTTTTGGCCTCTTTTGCTCTGCTAAAAGTATTTGTGAGTAGGTTAAGACCTACTTGAAACTTTTGAAAGGATTTGTCAATTCCTGAGTTGATTTTTGTGGTTGTATGGAAGGATTCTGCTTTGCTGCTTAGGCATTGCAAGGCAGCTATTTTTTTTCCCTCTGTTAAGAAGCTATTTTCTTGAGTCACCAAAATTCAACAGGGTGAAAAGCCTGTGAGGAAAAGATGTTCTTTTTCCCTTTAATTTTCCTTAGAATCATGTAATTCCACCCCATCTGAGAGATTTGCCTTTCCCCGTGCTGCCATGCACCACCTCAGCGGTGTGTGTGCCAACATCTGGCCAGTCGGAAGCCCTGCAAATAGTGAGTGGAGCCTTCAGGAGCCAGCAGAAGTCACTTCCAGCAAGATCAGCAGCTGTGGTAAGGAGAGCGTTGAGCCAGGCATCTCCTCCATACTCATAGAAAATAAATTTGCCCAGGATACTAAGTGAGGCAGGAGGTTCTGGCAGTGTTGGGAGGTAAAGGGTGGAGACCCAGTTTGAATTTCAGAGCTTGTAGAGCTTTAGTTGAGAGCTAGGGCTTCCATGGTGTGTTACCAGAACTTGAAAGCTGGAAGTACAGTGTGAAGACCCTTAGGGACTCTGAACAAAGACAGGCAGGGGCTGGAACCACTGCATGGAACTACATAGTTTCTGTAAAGACCTTTTAGTTGACGTATGGCACCGTCCAACACACGGTTAATCGATCATCTTGGTATTTGGGGAATACAATATACAGATGTCTGGTCTGGTTCTCCCATACTTAGCTTGGGTCTGACGGACTGATACTGAACTAATGGGCTCATTAGCCCATACTGCAGCCAGTCGTTCGCTCAGTGTCCGTGGACTGTTTTCCAATGATTTGCTGTGTTCCAATCTCCTTTATTCTAGATAATGGATACTAACTTTTCTATGTAGAAGGACAAATTGTGTGACGCTCTTTCTATGTGTGTTCTATGTTTATATATTATAGATAGTTTCTATATATATTATAGGCAGGCATAAGTATAGATATTTTATATAATTGTTATATTTTGTCACACATTATACATATATAAAAAAATTTTCTCTGTAAAGTTGACTACTCAAAATTTAGGTAATACAAGGATGTCTTTTGCAAGAGCAACTCTATTTTTGCCCTGTGAGGAGGGAGGAAGTATTTGATAAGATGACATGATGAGTGTTTTGCAGAAACATTTTCTTACACAGTTGAGTGTTGTAAAGTGGTTATTGGGTGAATCTGGATTGTAAGGTGAATAAGACTATTGACTGTAGGATTCCTATCTCATTTTAGGTGACAGTGGGTAGTGACTAGGCTAAATGCAAGATGCAAAAGCTGGAAAAAGCAATACAGAAAAGTACTTCTCTCTGTTCCACCTAATAGTTTCCCTGCAAATAAATTAAATTGGAATTTTCACATCTATCTGTCAGCTCATCAGTTCTTTTTTGTTCTGCAGTATGAAACTTCACTATTTCCACTGCTCCATCTCCCAGGTACTGAGTACTCACAGTAAACAGTTCCTCAGATATTTAGTTGCCCAGATTTTTTAAGGTTCCTGGACCTTTTTAGGCATTTGAATATTTCAGTGGAACTGGCTATAAATCTACATGTGGGGGTTTTTTTCCTCATATGTTTCTCCACAAATTGGAGTGATCTTGCAGAACAAGAAGAGAGGAGATCTTCTGTTTTAATTCTGGCTCATCTACTTCTTCACTGAATGCTTCTCATGTGGTTGCTTTGAATTTCTCAATTTTACCAGTGGGAAAAATTGAGAAGATACAGAATACCCGGAGGAGCTGGCAGAAGGTGGGGGAAGGTTTGGGGCCCTCGGATATCAAGAAATGCAGTGAGGGTGTACCTAATTCCACTTTAATCGAAGGGGTTTTAATGCTATACAGCAAATATAATAGGACACATGTATCTGAACAATAAAGATAAAAAGAAATATTGAATTGCTGTCTTATCTGTTGAATGCCATCCATCTTATGTAATTAAAGTCTATGCTATCATGTGTTTAAACGCAGGAGGACAGATTTCAAGATGCTTGTGTGTATTTTTGTACTTAATTAAAGGCAGCTTAGCTCTTGTAAGAGTTCCAAAGGTATCGGTGTGCTAAATATTGTATATCCACAGAGTGAGAAATTGATTATGTCTCTTCAGATGGTAAACAAGGGTAGGATAAATGGTGGAAGTAAGGGGAATTGTCTACAATTATTGACTACAGCCCTTGACTGTAGATTAAATGTCATTCCCATAGTTAGCAAAGAGACTTAACAAAGTTTAGAATTTCAGCTGCATCTTATGGCATAGTTGAACCCATTTTTGATACAGCTGTGGTGGTGTAAGAGTTGCTGAGGTGTTTGAGAAGTTACTGCTTTTTTATCCGTTCTGGCTCTGTAGGAGCCCACCGTTCCTGTAGTAGAGCCAACAGGCACACGCGTAGGTTCCCTGTTCCAGTGCAGAGTCTTGACAGCTGAGTTTCATCATGGCTGGTAGGTTAGACCAAGCTGCTGGACATTTCCGTCAACCAGCTGAGGCACATGCACCAGCTCTGCTGTGCTGCCCTGCCTGGGAGGCAGGCAGGGCAGGTGGGAGGGATGAATGAAGAGTAATATGTGGTTAAAGGACAGTGACATCTTCAACTGCTGCAGGTGTCAGCTATGACTGTTGTCTTTCCACGGGTCAGTCTTACTCAAGTGATTTGAAACTGAGCTAATACAAGTAGAAAAATCAGATTTAAATTAAGAGGGAACGATCTTGTTTCTTAGATCTTTGTTTAGTTTAAGTGCTAAAAGCCATAATCAGTTCTTCTCATAGTCCTTGTTGCTTTTGTGAGAAAAACAGTGTAAGAGTATTTTGGAAATAGTCCCAGTGTTTTCTTCTCTGTTATGGCAAATATGTAAATTTAAAATCTGACTGAACACTTAGTTCCATGTCTGAAGAAGGGTTTATGCATGTGAGGATGGGGCTGGGGGGAAGGCAAGCATTTTAAGTTTAAAAAAAATTTGGCAAGGATCCCCTCACAAGGAGGTTCAAAGCAATAAATTCCTTCGTAGCTTATATGATCTGTTGTGCTGTCCAATTTGATTATGAAGCAGAACTGTGATAGTATATCCTGGAACTTTTTTTTCTTTTTAGCTTAACTGGCATAATGGTGTGAACACCGCAAGGGAGAGTTGTATATCTTGTATTAGCTAATACATGTTTTCATGCAACAATACTTTTGTGTTTATACAGTACTTGAAGTGGGCTACATTTCCTGAAATTTCAAACAAATTTACTGTCCCTTTGGTTTTCTCTCTTTTACTGCTAATCTGAGTATATATTACATATATATTAACCAAAGATGAATGTACCCTTAAAAGGGAGAGTGATGCATCCTTATCCCTGTTCAGGGAGAAGGGGGATGTTGAAGGGAGGGTTGGACATCTTTCCTGTTCTTACACCCCGAGATTGCCAACATAGAAAATATTATATTCCTAGTTTTTGTAGTGCAGAAGCGTTCCTGGCAGATTTCCTGGTGGGAAAGAAAATTCAGAGGAGGAAGCATTTCCTAGAACTCTAAAAGCGCTGGGGGGAAAGAGATGTGCAACAAATTGCTAGAAGGTGAAATATGTGAACTTTTAAGATCATCCAAATGTCTTTTTCCTGTTGGGTCTGTACTGTTTGTAAATTGATGTTTACATTTAGTATGTTGCGATTTTTTTTAAAAAAATATAATTATTGCTGTTTGTGTTTTGGTTTTGTTTTTTTAACTGTAGGTATGAGAAGGTGCCTGTAATTCTGGTTGGTAATAAAGTGGACCTGGAAAGTGAGAGAGAAGTATCATCGAGTGAAGGCAGAGCCTTAGCTGAAGAATGGGGCTGCCCCTTTATGGAGACCTCTGCTAAAAGTAAAACAATGGTGGATGAGCTCTTCGCGGAAATTGTTAGACAAATGAACTATGCAGCACAGCCAGACAAAGATGATCCATGCTGTTCTGCATGTAATATACAATAGCATTAAAAATGACCTAACCTGGACTTAATTTGCAGAAATTTTGTAAGGTGGTAAAACTGTCTACTTCACTTCCTGGTTTGTGGGTCACTTGAAATACATCTGTAGTGAAGTAGCAACATTAACTCAGAGCTGAGCATTGGAAGTCAATCACTGACTCTGAATATAATTGGGTTAAATGACCACATCTCACCCGTTTTTCCCTTTGAGCACCTGCAATTTTATGGCATAGCCAGTTGATCTACAGGGTCGTTCCAGTCGAGCGTACGTGTGTTGTCATGTCAGACAGCAACAACAGCAACTGTTTCCAAAGAAGTTGGAAAACTTTTGGAAATGGAAAGCAAAAGCAGTGGAGAGAATATCTCTGAAGACCATTCACAACTAGCATAAGCGCGAAAGGAGAGCCAAGTCTTTCAGTGTCTAATTGCTGTGGTTCAGGACATGCACTATCACTTGTGGCCAAGTTTGTTCAGTCAAGTATGTTGATTTCACCAGAACTTCTGACAGTGTTAGATGAAGAGGCTACCAGAGACCTATATAGTTTGGATTTTTTTTGAAAATCGATGCTATTATTTCTACACTTTATCCCACATCTTGAAATAGAAAACATTGAATCAGTGTATGAAATGAGAGGCAAGATCTGAAAACAAATGATGGGTGAAGAAACAGTCTGGCATTGGAATGTTTTAAATCTTTCATTTTGCTGCTCAAAAATGGAGGATCACTTCAGGTTTTGGTCTGCAAAAAGCCAAACAAACCCTCTGTTTACAAAGCAGGAAGCATCTTTATTTATCACTTTACTGAACCAGGAGGAAGCAACTGTGATGAAAAAAAATTGCTGAGCCTTACTAACAAGGAACACTTTAATAGATTAACTAGTACCATCTTGTAAGGAAAATTAAGCCATGTTGCATCCATATGTTCCCTTCTGCAGAAACCTCGTGGGACAGTATGAACATCCTGCATTTTTAAGTTTGTTAAAGACAACAGTTTTTCTTGCCTTTAAGGGCTATGTTCTCTGGTGTGATCCCTAACAAACCTTTGAAAATCGAGTTTGCTATTTGATAGCTTTAATGCTGAAAACTTAAATTGAATAACCATGTGAAATCATTTGGTTCAGAGGTGAAATAGTTATGGTTGTAATTCCTTAGGTGAGTGTGGAAATGGTTCTTTAATTGCCTGACACACCATTCAAAGGTTGCCCCAATTATTGGAGTGTTAAATGGTGGGAGCAAATATTTTATTTTGAAAGGATGCTCGAGCTCTGACTTGCTAGTTTCATAGCAGTGAAGTATTTATCATTTGCATGACTAATGGCACAGAAATACCTATTCCGAAGTCTTACAATCAAAGTATAGAAGAGTTTTCAATCACAATGTTTAGATTTTAAATGCTGGAGAGATTGTCTTGAGCTGGATCTTTTATAGGTAAAATTGGCCATAAAAATACAGAGTCGCTGAGCCTGTGGTCTAAATAACACCATGCGTTTATTAGTTTTTCAATCTTGTGCAGTAACAGTGTAGTTCCTTGTGTTTAAATGAGTGAAAACAGGGGTGCTGGTGTGTGTGTGTGTGTGTGTGTGTGTGTGTGTTGAGTGTGTATGTGTGTGTGTATATGGCCCTTAGAAATGCTGTAATTGGAGTTAGGTTCGAGAGTTTTGCCTCCATCTGCAGAACTTCCTAAAAACGCTCTCATCTGCTACAAAGGAAACTTGAGAACAAAACGCTTTGCAGATTTTCATACATAAACATCCTTAACATTTTGAATTATATTTTAGTGGATGATAACTAAAGGAAATCATATTAATGGAAGAGAACTGGCCATCTCTGCCCTTAATCTTTCAAGATCTTTCCACAACCAATGTATCAAAGGGCATTAGATGTCACAAAACATTAAGCCTTACTAGAACACAAATGTAGCCCGTTTCCCATCTACCTTGCAGAGCTTTCATTACTGTACTTTGTTCTCTTAGGGAGATAGGCACACCGTTTATTTCTGGCATCTGAATGCCCATTTTGGGTGCTCTGAAACGCCCTCCTAGAGGCACCTACCTCTTTCCATTGACTATATAGCAAACTTAGGCTTTTAACTTTGGTCCTCTGAGTCACACAACTTATATGCCTAAACTAGATGGTATGAATGTTCTCCTACCCCCTGCCTGCCCATTGTGTCAGCTGCCATGCTTAAGCAAGATGAGAGATGTTGAATTAATGATATTTCAGTGTTTAAAATATCTAGATTGGAAAGTGGTTTATTGAGCAGTAAAACTTATCTGTAAAACAGCTTGTCAGTGTGAGATCCACTGCATAAGCGCTCAAAAAAAAAAACCCCACCAACAAAAAAAACACCCAAACCCAAATTTGAAACTGAGTTGGAAGTGCATGTTATGCAGTGTTATTTACAGAGATGTTAAAATCTTACCTCACAGATTGTTCATCAACCAAGAAAATGGCATGAAGTACAATATGAGCAGCCTAACATGTTCATAATATAAAACAGATGGGCTTTTAATATAGGAAAAATTGCACAGTAAACTCTTAACAGAAAATATTCATGAAAATATCTCCCAGTCTTGTTTCTTCATTACACTCTTACATTTTCAAAAACATTGGCCGTATGTAAGCTACCACACAACGTGGCGGGGGGGGGGAAGCGTAAGTGTTGTTTTTCATTGTATAGTTCTGAGGAAGTAGTTATGCACTATTTGTATTTCCACTAATGTGAAGATAGTGGAGCTTGAATCAATGACAGTTGCACTTGACAGAGGTTTTTTCAAATTATAGAGGTAGAAGAAAGGGAGGCGAGTGAGCCATGCGGCAGCTGTGTGGCCACTCTGCGGGAGTTGTTGGTCTTGGGTCACTGTTTCATTTGTACCCTGATAGAATTACCAATTATAGTATTTGAAAGTTTCTTATAACATGCCTTAAAATATTATGATTTGTTCCAAAGACCCACTTTTCCTTTGGCTGTTCTTGTAGAGCTTTGTACTTTTCTACAAAGACAGCATTTCTCCAGTTTTGTTGGGGTTTTTTTTAAACGTTGCAACTTTTATTCTTTTAAGCTATGATAGTGAGAGCAACTGTTTCCTCTTTCTCAAAGATACACACAAAAACTAGTCAAAGCAAACAAACCAGAATCAAATCAAGAGTATTAAACATAATTACACAGGGTTTTGATTTGGTTTGGTTTTCTCTGTTGTCTCTGTCCCCCCGCCTGCCCCTTCAGAGCATCAGAAAAATTTTGGTGACATTTTCTGTTCTGGTTCTAGCCTCTCCCTAACCCCAGTGCTACAGTTGCCATTACTTTTCTGTGGGAAAACTACTGGTATTTGCTTTCCTGTATAGAATGTTGCCTAAAGAAGTCAGCCATTTGGTTGGGGGGTTTTGTGCATGTTTGTTTTTTATTTTTATTTTTTTTTTACCAGTGTGCTGTCAAAGCACTGGTTAGGCTTTAATTGTGAAACTCCGCAACAAAAGCAAATGTTTGACAACTGCAGGAGGCTTTTATCTGCATTGTTGTGCATCTGTTAATTCTTGATCAGGGTTTGAAGAAAGACTGAAGGTGGGTTCTGGAATCAGACTTAACGCTGTTGATTTGGAGTTTCCTAGGGGTGAGTTAATGTATTTCACAGTTAATTGTTGAGCTCTAATACAACTGGCAACTTAAAATGGGGCAACAGTTTGTTTTGTAACAATGTCAGTTGTTTAAACCTTGATGTTTGAAATAAAACAAGAATTGTACATAGAACTCAATGCAAACTCAGCAGTTGTATTTGGAGTTAAATTATTTTAACAAATAAATTTATTTAATGAAATCTCCCTTGCATGTCCTGTATTGTCCATTTTGATTTAATTAAAAAGTTCATCCATAGCTGACAAGGGCTACCCAGTAATTTCAAACAACACTGTCAACTATTTGCAGTTCAGCTAAGTATCAGCTAAGAGCCAAAACGTTCTTCTGGTACAAATTAAATAGCAGTAAGTATAAAGCAAATATGCTTTAACTTTTACAGATGGATGCATGTTGTCATTTAAGTCGTAAGCTTGATAAAGAACTATTAGCAAAGGGTTTTCTTAGAGGGATATATATTGACAACAATCAGTAAGACTCAGTATTTTATAGAGTATGACTCTTGCCATGGCAAGAGAATAGTGCTTATTGAACATAATTTTATTATCTTTTATGAACTTGGTCAATATGAGATATGGTTAATATGCAGAACTACTTTTATAACATTAAGGTTGCAAAGGGTTAAGAAAAAGATTGTTTGTTATATCAGCTGTTCAACTGATGAGTGTTTTGCAGGCTTTCAGCACCATACAAAAGGAGTTAGTGTTCGAAAGAGCTTCAAATACAATCAGAGTTGCAGAGATTTATAAATGAATGGTCGAGCTAATGCTAACAGGATTATTCTAGCTAATTGGCACTGATCAGCAGTTACATTTTAGTCATGCCAGTGTCACTAAAATACCCTGTTTTCAGTAATGATGGGTGCTTGGTGGTCTCTTGTTTTCATGTCATGCATGCCATGAGGAACAAGAAGCCTGAGGCTGGCACATCTTAAAAGCTCCTAGTTCTATGGATAATAGAGAAGACTGACACATACTGCTAATTTTATGGTTTTGATTTGCCCATTCAGTCTGTGAACCTGTTCCAGGGGAACTTTTGCTGATGGGTTCTTGCAGTCCTGTTGATTTAGTAATATCCTTTTGTTTTGCCTGAGAAGGTACCTGTATAGGGACAGCACAAATTCATTGGGCTGTTCTGAACAGTTAAAAAAAACCCAACCAAACAAAAAAAAACCCAATATGCAACATTCTTTCCAAATAACTGAACAACTAGAAAACTTTGACTTTTGTACTCTTAAATGCTTTCTCTGGGGCCCATTTTTTTTTTTAGCTACTGGAGGAAACTTGCTAACTGAGAAAGCTTTGTAAAATATTTTGATGGGAAGTAAGTATCTTGCTATCAATCCTCCATGGGTATTAGTCTTAACTGGATCACCAGTCTTTGGTCACCACTTCTGTTGCTTGACCAGGCGGTCACTGGACTACATCTTCCATCCCAACTGAGAGCAGGAGAATTATTCTGAAATTGCTGACAACTGTTTCTATTGTTCTGTCTGGCTCCTCCAAGTGTACTCGGTATGTAGTTATGTCTTCCTTTTGCAGGCACCAACTTGATCATTCTCTTTTAACAAACATAAATTTCCAGCTTCTGCTGGCTCTGTTTGGAGGCACTAGCACCCTAGTCATCTTACACATAGTTCCTGTTTTGCCATAAAACCTACAGAAAGATCTTTTCTGGTTTTCTGTGCTAAGTGCAGTCATGGAATTTGCGGATGTTTTGAGCTGCAGGTTTCTCATCTTTCTTCACAGGGAAGTCAGTTAATACCTGTGTGAATATATCTATCTGGATTTTGACTGGTTGTTACTTATTTGGGCTTTGGTTGTCTGATGGTTGACACAACATGTTTTTCTTACATTCTCACATTGGAGGTAAAAACGTATAGAGTTAGTATAACATTTAGAACATCTTTGTGGTTTTTGCCTCGGCTCCTGTGGTTATGCTCATCATGTGGTCTTTTAATACTTCCATTTTATTTTAAAGTGGCACTTTTACTTGAAGTGACCATAAAAGCACTATCTCAATGGTTAGGCTATCTAGCTGTATTCAGAGTTGTCTGTTAAACCTTTACTAGATTTTGTGCCTAGGAAAACCAACCCAGCTTGGAAGCAGGAGCTGGTGTTGCCGTAGCGCTCTCTGAGGCACAGACCAGGCAGAGCCCACACTGATGTTCAGACAGTGGGTTGTATTAACAGGCTGGATTGCAGGCGGGTGAAAGGAAAAGCCATGTTGCTCTGAAGCAGGCACCATGCGATACTGGAATTGCTAACAGCAAATCTTCATCCCCCTCAGCTGGAACTGTTTTTCTGTGCACTTTCAAGCTTGCACGTTTTGGCTTGACTTGAATATGAAGTAGTTTGGGGAGCACTGAGAATTTATTTCAAACTTTTCACGGTGCAGTGACCACATGTGTAGGCAACTGGATGATATGCCTGCCTGCTGCTCTTAGGAGTGTTTGCAGTGTCAGACAGCCACATAGGAATCTCACTGAAGAATGGGGAAGTGAGATGGTTAGCTGGCATGAGCAGAGGGGAATGGGGATGCATCTAGGTAATGTGGTGAAAATATAAAACTGAAAGTTGTTCAAGAAAAATACCTAGGTAGACTGAGAGAGTGTTTTGTTGAATGGGAGAAATACAGTGTTTATCACAGACCAAGATTTATTATTCCTAGACAGAAACACTTATCAGCAGAAGTTAGTAGATAAATCAGAGAACTGGATCTTAAGAGCAGCCTTCTATGAGACATTTCTTTTAATTGAAAGAAGTATAAAGCTGCTTCTTGAAATATTGAAGGGAAATATTCTGATTACTTGGGATTTTTTTCTTTTAGAATCCTTGTACAATTTTAATAACGAAAAGATATTGCCCCCAAACGTCATTCCCAAATACTTAAGAGATGGAACCTTTGCTTTCTGGTTGTACAACACAGTTTAGAAAAACAAAGTATACTTTCATCTTACAGCTGAGACTATATTCTTTATTACAGGTGGTTTGGTTATTACATAGGCTTCTTTTTACTATTTACCCCCTACTCTTGCAGATAGAACAGATAATTGAACAGAATAAAGGTTGACTGGCACTTTCCAGTATTAGACAAGGTGATCAGGGTTTTTTTATTTATTTTCAAACTAATAGAGCTCCAGTTTTCTCAGGGTGATCTATCTGTCCCAGATTTGGGGGTGGTTGGTGGTTCTCTTTTTTAATGGTTCAGCTGTTTCTAAGGATAAAACAAAGGCAGATGTATCATTCTGCATATGCTAAATTCTTGAAAACATTTTCTTAAGACCTGGCAACTTTCTGATTTGAACCACTGGGAAATTGCCCTAAAAAAACACCATCTCAGGGATGAGTCTAAACTTGGCCAAGTTATAAGCCTCTGAAAAAAATTATTTACCCAGTATGAACAGGGATAGGATTCTGCATCCAGTCTCGTCAGCTGCCACTGGATATGCTTTTGGCCCTTTGTAGCTCATATATAGTAACTGCTGGGTGCAAGGCAGAGTCTTTGTGCATGTATGTACATGCTGGGTAGGAGCTGAGAAACAGTAGGAGAGAGTAGGATGAGACTATTCAGCAGGGAGGATTTCCAGCTGTAGATCTTAATGTATCTTGTTGAAGAAATAGAAATCAGCTTTGCTGACAGTGAAGTCCTTTAGGAGCAGGTTCAGAGGCAGACTTCATTAATGCCAGTGGTAGAGGACTGGTCTGAACGCATGAA